CTTCACAGAAGCAAAGCCCAAACCACACCCACTGCCTGGAGTCCATTCTGACCCACAGCGCCCCTAGAGGACAGAGTGGAACTGCCCCACAGGGTCTCCCAGGCTGTCAATCTTCAGAGAAGCAAAGCCCAAACCACACCCACTGCCTGGAGTCCATTCTGACCCACAGCGCTCCTAGAGGACAGAGTGGAACTGCCCCACAGGGTCTCCAAGGCTGTCAATCTTTAGGGACACTCACTGCTTCATCTTTCTCCCGAGGAATGTCTGGGCACTGTAAGGTTCAATACTGAAGCTGCCTGCCAGTCCCAGCCTGGTCCCCATGTCTCAGGGGTGGACGCTCATGTGGCCTCATTCACCCAGTCATGGGGTTGCTGCTGGCCTCCTTCAAGTGGGCTGTAGGGATGGGTGCGTGGGAGGAAGCAGAAGGCCTGGTTGGAGAGAGCAGCCCAAGGAATGGCTATTGAGTGAAGAAGTGCATTTGTCTGATGTTCTGTCCACCTCGGAAGAAGGAACTGAAGTGGTCAACGGTTTCATTCTTCTCGGATCCACCATTAACGTCTATGCAACCAGTCCAGAAACAGACAACAAATTGCATTGGGCAAATCTGCAAAGATTTCCTCAAATTGTCAAAGAGCAGAGATGCCACTTTGAGGACTAAGGTGCGCCTGACCCAAGCCACGGTCTTTTCAATCGTCTCCTCTGCCTGAGAAAGCTGGTCAGTGAAAAAGGAAGGCTGAAGAATGCATGGGGGGAAGTGTGGTGTTGGCAAAGAATATTGAATAGACTGTGGGCTGCCCGAAGAACGGACCAATCGGTCTCAGAAGGGATGAACCGGATGCTGCTTAGACGAGAGGAGGGGAGACGTGGGCTTGCTCCCTTCGGACGTGTCATTGGGAAAGAGTAATGGCTACAGATGGACGTGAAGGTCGGGAAAGTGGAGGGGCAGCGAAAACGGATGGATGGACACACAGCCAGACAACGGGCTCAAATGTACCGTTATGGAGATGGCATAGGCCTGGGCAACATTGTACATCATCGTTGTTCTGTTGTACATGTCACCATGAATCGCGGCTGGCTCAATGGCACTTAACAAGTAACACGTGTCCACTGCTACAGTCCAGTTACCCAGACCTCTGGTCTCCTGGCTTAGGGTGTCGCGAGGCCCTGGGAGCATGAGGCCCGTCCGGGAGTGATCGCTGTCCTGCCCCTACTAGAGGGAGGCTGCAACTCAAGCGAGTGGGCCCCAGCCACTTCCTTCTTCCAGCACAAATCCACGGTGTGAGACAGAGAGGCTGGAGCGAGTGCCACCCTGAGCTTCCCTCCTGTCCTCGTCACCGTGGGGCCTTCATCCCTCAGGCTGCAGGGCTGGGGGACAGGATGGGGGGATTCATTAGGTGGTCTCCTGCCTCTGCTGGGGGTGGCTGGGAGGCTCTTTCACGAGTCATGAACCCCTTTCGGGGTCATGGCCCTGGGCTGCTGGTGGTGCCAGGATGCAAGACAGGAGGGGTGTCGATAGGTGGGGCCACAGCCAAGGAGTGGGACCCCCAGTGGAAGCAGACCCCTCGCTGGGGTGAGGGCAGAGAAGGAGGGTGACCAGGGTCCCTCACGGTACCACACTGAGCCTTGGCTTATCTGTCTGGGGGGACAAGGTGGTTTTGACCTCCACCCCACAGGGTCACGGTGACTGGATGCGGCTCCCTGGGATGGAAAAGGCAGGGCTAAGCTTGTGAGGCCCTCCTGCATCGACTGTCACTCCGGGGGTGGAGGTGGGACGACGGGAAGGACAGATCATCCAGTGTGTCCCTCTGTGGCCAGCCTCATGAGCCCTCCGTCTTGGCCAAATACTGACACCCAAGTGGCCACTCCTGGGTTGGCCAAGGCAGTGGGAAGCGATGGCCCAGTGACCAGGGCAACAAGGTAAGTTTAACGCAGGACCACGTGCTGAGGTGTGGGCACACGCAGGGTACCACAGGGCCTGGGCTGGGCCAGCAGAACGTGCTCGGTCACCCCTACCCCACACGGGGGCCTGTGGATGGGGGAGCCGTAGGGTGTGGGCACCTGCACAGCCGGTTATTGCAGGCAACCTTGAGCTGACAGTGGGCCCCACTCCGCTGGCCTGCACCCGGGCTCGGGGACGAACCACAGACCCAACACGTTGAGGAGGCAGCTGCTCCATCGCTGGTGGCTCTTGCACCCACTGAGGGGCCCTCAGTAGTCTGCGAAGAGTACCCACTGCTGGCAAGCTTGGGCCGCACGGGGCCACAGGTAACGTGTATGGCAGTACACATGGGAACACAGCCCACGGGGGCCGTGACAGGCGTGAGCAGTGCCTGCCACTCCCTTCACCCACGGCAGGCTTCCGAGGTGTAATCTACACACCTGTCCTGCTTGACTTGTTTACAAGCTAGACTGTTTTTTAAATTGTGATTTTGGTGAAAGGTGACAGAGCAAATTCACTTCATACACATTTTGTCTCATGTTACACTGCAATCCCCACAGTGTAACAGCTCCGTTCCTGCTTCCCTGTGGTTACCTCTTCCCTGTGTCCTCCTTTCCTATGTGTTCCCACCCTCGAGCTGTCTCCCTGTGCAAACACTGCCCTTCTGTTCTCCCATGATTGCTCCAAGGAGTGCATCTACCTGATGTAAGTGTTCACCCCATAGGCCTGTCTGTTGTTTGGCTGGAAGCCACAGGAGTGAGTTCAGTTCCAGACCTGAAGGGTGACTAGGGGCCATAGTCTTGGTCTCACCAGGCGCTACCAGACCAGCAGACCCAGTTTTTTTTTTTTTTTTTTTTAATGATTCTGAGTTTTGTTCCACATTGTTCTGCCACTCTATGCAGGATCTCCTGCATGTATCCCTTCCGAGTGGTTGACTGTGGGAGCTGGGCACCATCTAGTTCTTCTGGTCTCACAGTCACACAGGCTGAGGTCTGCATGGTGGACCAGTCCCTTGGCCTCACTGTTCCCCCGCGTCTCTGGCTCTCCCCACTCCCCTTGCTCTGGATGAGGAGAGCCCCCTGTTGCACCCAGGTGGCCCCCCAAGGCCTCCAGCAGCTGAGTTTTCTGCAGTCGGCTTTCAGGCCCTTCTTCCGAGGTGCTCTGGCTGGAATCGAACCTCGGACCGTTGGGTTAGCAGCCAAGTGTATTATTCATTGGCACCACCCATGGACTCAAAAGTCAACTATGACTATGAAAATATGAGAACTATGAAAATTCTGAAGACAGAGCTAAAAGTACAGTGCAGGGGGAGGGGACACCTGGCCTGTGGCCACTGTGGGGGAGGGGACACCTGGCCTGTGGCCACTGTCCAGCTACTCAGCGCGCCAGGAGAACACAGGCCCAGCCGGCCGTCCACAGAACCCTCACCGTCTACAACAGGGGACGGGGACACCTGACGGGCCCCGCCTATGGACAGAGGGCAGGGTGAGCTGGCAGTTAACAGCACTGAGGGGTGGGCTCATGTGACGGGCCAGGAGCACAGGGCTGAGAGCCCCTCCTCATCCTGGGGAGTGCACAGGAGGAGGTGGATTGGGGGGTCCTGGGAGACGGCCTCCAACCAGCGCGCCCCTGCTTCCCGGCCCCTGGCTGTGCAGGACTGGGTCCTTCAGGCCATGTCTCAGGACGACTGGGAGAGAGGGGTGGGGAAGACGGGACAGCAGCCCTGGGCCAGGTCCCACGTCATATGGCAGTCAGGGTCCCAGCTGCAGAGGCTAAGGGGGAGTGTTGCCCTCTGGCCAAAGTGTGGTCAGCGGTGGGGGAAACACAGGTGGGGTCGGGAGCCCGGCCAGTCCACGGCCCACCGCCTACTTGGAGGGGTATGCTCATCCACGGCCGCCCAATGAGTCAGTCTTAGGCAGGGCTGGGGCTCAGGGACCCCAAGACCCGAAGCTCCAAGGCACCGACTGAAAGCCTATCTGACGACAGGACCCCAGAGACAGGGTGCAGGGGGGGCAGCCGGCGTGGGCCTTCCCTCGACGTCAACAGCACTACGTCCTGGGTCTTGGGGATGTGCTAAGTGGGTCTGGACACAACCCTGGGACTACCTGGGGAGGGTGTCGGGATCCGTGGGCCACGTCCGTGTGAGCCAGGGATGTGGGGTGGGGCCGAGGCCTCTCAGGATGGGAGGGTCCATCTGATGACAGCCTTCAGGTGCCCCCGCCGTGCCCCACGGGCTGCGCAGTGAGGCCCTCAAGAGCCGGGGGATCCTCCTAGCCACACAGAGGTGGTGGCTCCGGCTCTGCAATGGGCGATGGGGAGGCTGGGGTGAGCCTTCTGTCCTGGGCGGCAGCCGTGTGCAGGTATGTTGCCCTCCGTCCCTGACAGCAGGCGGCAGCCACGTACGGGCTCCACGGTACCCTCCGTGGCGTGACGGCAGCCACGTGCGGGCTCCACGGTACCCTCCGTGGCGTGACGGCAGCCATGTGCGGGCTCCACGGTACCCTCCGTGGCGTGACGGCAACCATGTGCGGGCTCCACGGTACCCTCCGTGGCGTGACGGCAGCCATGTGCGGGCTCCACGGTACCCTCCGTGGCGTGACGGCAGCCATGTGCGGGCTCCGTGCGGCTCTCTGAGAAGCACACGCGTGTGGGCTCTGCATCTTCCTTCGGCTCTGGCAGCAGCCGTGTGCGGACTGCACGTGGCCTCTCCACAGTCAAGGGCGCTCTGCTTCCGTGGGCGGGGTGGAGGCGCCCCACGCACAGTCCGCTAACAGCAGCCCAGGCTGGAAGGCTTCTCGCTCTCCTGGGCCTCAGGCAGGCTCCCCTCCATCCCTGCAACAGGGGAGAACCGCGTGGTGTTGGACAAGCGTCCTGCAGCCGACACTGGGTGGGACCCCGGTGCTCGCCGGGGCTCCTCAGCTCCTAGGTCCACCGTCCTAGGCCTTGCTGAGCCGGGCACAGGTCGAGAGCCTGGGGGCCTCCAGGCAAGACACAGAGGGCAGAGGCAAGGGGGGAGGGTAGGAAGGCCGCTGGAGGACGGGGACACCCTGGGGAGGTGTGCTGGTGGCCGTGGGGGTTCGGAGAAGGCTGGGTGCCGGCAGGGCGTGGGGTGCTGGCTGGTACGCACGGATGAGGCCTGCGTCGCCGACCTGGAACCGGGCGCTGCCCCTCCTCTCCAGCTCCTGCAGGACCGACTGCTCAAAGGCCAGCGCGGCCACACGGCTGAAGAGTGCCTTCACGTTCTCCCCTGCAGGCAGAACGGTGACTCATCTCTACCCTTGCCACTGCTGCAGGTGCCGGGCACCCTGACAGCAACAGAGCCCACACCAGGGCACAGCCGCGCCTAGCAGCACCCCACATCGCAGCGCTGACTGGGGAGCAGAAGGGGTGGGTCCACGTCCCAGAAGCCCACTGCCTCTGCGGCCCTTGGCCCTGACCCCACTCTGCTTCCTCAGGGCTCCCAGCCTTGGGCGCCCACATGGAGACAAACCCCTCCAACTATCAGACCAAGCACTGCTGTGAGTCCAGCCCAGGGACACGCGAGATCAAGACAGACACCTGCTGGTTTGCTTGGTCCTCTCTAGCACCTGCCCAAGGCTAACATGCTGGGACTACCACACAGAACCCCTGTGCACCCTACTCTGGGGTGGCCAGGATTGCAGGCTCCGTCATAGCCAACAGGAACCTCCCACAGCCTGAGACAACAAACTCAACTGCCATAAACACTACCCAAAAACACTGTTCCAAATCCTGTGGTGGTGAGCAGCGACAGGGGTCTAAAAAGCTCGCAAGTGGCCATCTAGATGCAACAATGGGTCTCTCCTCATCCAGAGCAAAGAAGAATGGCAACAATGAGTCCAAGGGACTCATACACCATGCGAACCTCAGCCCATATGACCATGAGAACGTCAGAACTAGATGGTGCCCGGCTACCACTGTCAACTACCTAGAGGGGGATTTATATAGGACACCCTGGGCAGAGTGGGAGAACAATGTGGAACAAAACTCAAAATCATAAAAAAGACCAGGTTTGCTGGTCTGATAGAGCCTGGTGACACCCCCAAGACTCTGGCCGCTAGTTACCCTTCAGGCCTGGAATTGAACTCACTCCTGTGGCTTCCAGCCAAACAATAGACAGGCACATGGGGTGAACATTTACATCAGGTAGATACACTCCTTGGAGCGATCAATCATGGGAGAACAGAAGGGCAGTGTATGCACAGGGAGACAGCTCAGGGGACAGGAGTACATGGGAGAGAAGGACACAGGGAAGAGGTAACCACAGGGAGGAAGTGGGAAGAGAGCTGTTACATGGTGGGGAATGGCAGTAATGTCATGAGACAAAAGTTGTATGAACTGCTGTGTGGAAAATGAATTTGCTCTGTCAACTTTCACTCAAATCACAATTTATAAAAAGAAAAAAGAACCTCCCTAAGGCTGTAAGGGCCCCTGCGTCCATGACGGTGCTCCTGGTCAGCCCTGACCACTTACCTGTCTTAGCTGACACTGCCCAGTACTCGGCCTGCATCTCGTTGGCCAGGCACACGGCCTCCCTTTCAGTTAGTGCACATGCTGCGCCTGACTGGGAGAAACAGCCAGAATCGGCCTGTGACCAGTGCTCCCGGCCCTCCTGCAGAGAGACCCTGGGACGCGCAGCCCCGAACCTCTCAAGGCCTCCTGGCCCCACCCCAGGCAGGCCCAGTGCCGCCGGCCCAGCGTGCATCCGGGCCTGCAGAGGGGTGGGGCGGGGAAGGCACTCCCGGAGGCCGGCCCGGGCCCAGCACCATGCTGCTCACCAGAAGGTCCTTCTTGGTCCCCACTAGGAAAACGGCACTGGAGCCCGGCTTGTTCTCTTGTAGCACATCCTCCAGCCACTGCCTGGCCACAGAGAGGGAAAGCTGAGGGCCACCACCAGCCAGGGGCCTGAGGCCGGCCAAGGCTAGGGATGCAGACTTGGGTCTTGCCCAGGGCTCCAGGCGGGGAGGGTGCTGCTAAGCAGATAGTCTGACAGCCTCAGGGCCCGGGCTGGACTGGCAAGAGCAGTGGTCAGAGAGGGGAGACCATGGAGTCCTGCCCCAGTGCTGCCCTTACCCCGCACAACCCTGGGTGAGAGGTAGGCCTGTCAACCATCAAACAAACTGTCACCCAGCCTCCCTTGTAGGACCTGGATATGAACACCCAGCCGTGATGTATCCTGGGTGGTACAGGGGTTCAAGTCCACCCCAAAGGTGCCTCAGAAGAAAGATGTGGCAACCTACTTCCTCAAAACCAGCCACTGAAAGTCCCCGGGAGCCCAGTTCTACCCTGACCCTCGCAGGGTTGCCAGGAGTCAAAGGTGAGCTGATGACAACTGGTTTACAGGGACTTTGGTCCCGCTGACTGGGCCATCCAGGATGGTCTCTTGGGACTGGTCACACTGCCAAGGCAGCGAGTGCCAGGCCATGTTCCTGCAGATGGTCAAGTGGTGACAAAGGTAGACCCCTTGTTCAAAACGCCGCATTTCAAGACCACAGAGCGTCTCGCCAAGCGTGGGCGTGTGACCGAGCCGGCTGTGCATCACGAACGGCCCTGCCCTCTGGGACAGAGGGTCTGTGCGGCTCTTAGGAGACAAGGAGGCAGCAGGCAGTGTGTGCAGGTCTCACGCTGCTGCCAGGGGTGGGGGTCAGCCAACACTGGTGGCTGGGGCCTGGAGGGTGCCCGCGGGGGTGGCCAAGCTGGACTTGCCTGGTGTGCTCAAGGGTCTGCAGGTCAGACAGGTCGAAGGCGGTGATGATGGCTGGAGGCAGGGGAAACCAAGAGCTCGTCAGTGACAAGGGAGCCTGCTGGCGCACCCCCGTGACCCACACCGGCGTCGGTGCATGTGGAATCCAGAGGGTAGGATGAGTGGGTAGGAAGCGCAGGGCTGTGGGACTGCCCGTGTGAAGTGGGTGGATGGCAGGTACCCTGGCACTCGGGCTGCTGGAAGGACTGACCCAGGGCAGGTACTTAGCACTGGGCATCCAGGCCTGAGGGAGCCTGCTACCCTCCACGGCAGCAGCTGTTGCTATGGAAACAGCTCTGGGCAGGCAGGAGGGCAGGGGTGAGAGATGCCCCCAGCTCCTCTGTCAT